ACGTGGTTTTCAACGAGTGATTTGATAAACTCTAGCAGATAGAAGAGTTCGAATTAGAATTCCATATCCCTGATATGGAATTAATAATGATGATGATGAGGATGATGATGTTGATGATGATGATGATAATGGTAACGATGATGATGATGATAATAATATAACACTAATAAGAACTGTTAAAACTACTGTAATAGTAATTCATTCCGACAAATTTTATTTTCTCATTACTCTGCGCGACTGTGGCTCGCTTACCAGCCCTCCATCGTATATACATAGGCCATATATATTATATAAATACTGCCCCACGAATAATATATATATATATATATCATATATATATATTATAGAATTCACTGCCAGTTATTTTTAATTTTCTGTGTAAATTGCTTTTATGGCCACAGAGGAATAATTAGTGGTAATTTTAATAATGTATATTAATGTTTCGTCGCCACATTTAGCATAGTAAACAGGCAACATATACGATATAATACAATATATATATATATATTATTATGTTATCATATTATATATATTATGATATATATATATATCGTAATATAACTGAACGATAGGATTCAGACGTCTCATGACCGATAGGAAAATAACTCGAAGTTACGACGCAAAAAGCAGCCGCAGCGAGCGCGTCGGGAAAGATAACAACCAATAACAATGCGCACCATATCGACGGCTGAGTCAGACATTTCAAGTCTGTCACGCCAAATAATTCTGAAATGTCGGCAATGACAGTTATGACCGTCGTAGCGCGGCAGCAGGTTCTGTTGCGTTTCTCAACTATTCCGAGCGCCAATTAAAGGGCCCGCCGACACAAATGCGCTTCTTCCTGCGCGCCCGCTGATTGGTTGCAGAAAGCAAAAAGTGCAATATCCACATTGAAGAATAGTTCCCAACCAGATGAAAGAACATTTTCGCTAGCGGATCGTTAATGACCCTAAACCCTGAAAAAACATATATAGAGAGGGCGAGGATAGCGATAAGCAGAGAGAGAGAGGAGATTCCTGCGATCTGCGAGTAAGACTAGATTACTCACTGATGTGCGAGAGAGAGAGAACGACGACGAGCAGAGAGAAACGTACGTACGGAAAAAAGAGAGAGCTAATCCAGAGAGAAAAAGCGAAGAGAGAGACAGTAGCGAAAATGAGAAAGCACCGATCAAAGAGAGAGCACGAGCAAACAGAGACAGAGACAGCAGACAGAGACAAGCATGATGGGAGAATTGGAAAGAGGTCCGAAGCATGGAGAGGGCCACGAGCTACCGCGGGCGAGAGGCAAGAGGACACGAGCCAAGAGGAAGCAGAAGCAGGAAGAGGAAGAGGAAGAGACAAAGAGGAGAAAAAGAGGAGAGTCAGAAAGGCAGAAACGACAGAAAGAGAAAGAGAAAGAGGGGGAAAAAAAAAAAGGGAGAAAGAGGCAAAAGCAACCGAGAACGAGAAAGAGAAAGGAGAAAGAGAAAGACGGAAGAGACAGCAGGACAAGAGGGAGAGTACGGATAGAGGATAGAGGTGCAGAAGAGCGGAGAGATGGGAGAGAGGTCGAGAAGAGGAGCAGCAGGGAGAGAGGGAGAGAGGCGAGAGAGGGAGAGAGGAAAGACGGGAGAGAGGTCGAGAGAGGGAGAAGGGAGAGATGCCCGTGAGAGAGGGACGAGAGGGAGAGAGGGAGAGCAGGAGAGAGGGCAGGAAATGGGAGAGAGGGAGAGAGCGGACGAGAGCGGAGAGATGGGAGGAGCTGAGGAGAGCAGGAGAGCAAGCGCAGGAGAGAGCGGAGAGAGGGAGAGAGCCGGCAGAGATGCGCGAGCAGCAGGGAGCAGGAGGTTGAAGAGAGGGAGAGAGGGAAGAGAGCGCTGAGAGAGTGAGAGCGGGAGAGAGGGAGAGACAGTAGAGAAAGAGAAGAGCGGCGACGAGAGGAAGAAGATGGGAAGAGAGGAGAGAAGGAGAGAGGCGACGACGAGGGAGAGAGGGAAGAGCGGAGAGAGGGAGAGGAGCGTGCAGAGAGGAGAGCGGATATATAGAAAGAGGAAGAATGCAGAGAGAACGAGCAGACAAACGCGAGACGAGAGCAGAGAGAGAGAAAAGATGCAGAGCAGAGAGAGCACGAGAGCAGAGAGGCAGAATGAGAAGAGAATGACAGAGCAATGAGCAGAGAGCAAGCCCACACAAATATATATGTAGGAAGAGAAAATATCAGAGAGAGATTTGATGGCTGAAACAGGCAGTGAGCGGCGAAGAAGGAGCAGAAACCGACCAGCGCGTAGTGTAGTGCTGAGAAAGAAGCAGGCTGGATTAGCCCAGAGAGATCGATGCTGTGGAGACAATCTTCCGAACCGGACCAGCAACCGGAATATTTATGTGAACCTAAATTTCGTTGCCAAATATATGATTACTTACAAATCAAACTCGCTCTTGATGCTACAGTGCCAGATGCATTCGCACAGGTTATATTTAGCCGCCCAATCATCTAACTTATTTTGCAGTTTCACGAGATTAATTCGGAGGCTCAGCACGGCGCGAGGCAATAATATAATTATATTTATTTGACGCGTGTACTCTGAAAATTTCCGTCGCCAATTCGGCGCATAAAAAATGGCATGTTAAATCATCTATCTTACCTCTCCTCCTCCCGCTCCTCATGCTCCTACCTCTCCTGTTCTTCTCCTCCCCCCCCCCACCCCCACCCCCACCCTCACCCCCCCACCTTTTTTTTTTTCCGCCCTCTCCCCCCCCCTCCCATTTTTCCTCCTTCTTCGTCTTCTGGCTCCTCCTCAGCCTCATTCCTCATCTTTCCCTTCCTCTGCTCTTCCTGCCCTCCTCCTCCTCCTCCTTCTCCTGTTCCTCCTCCCCCTCCTTCCTACCGCCTCCTTACTCCCTTTTTCTTCTTCTTCTTCTTCTTCTTCTTCTTCTTTCTTCTTCTTCTTCTCCTCACTTCATCCTTCATCCTTCCCTTCCTCTGCCTCCTCCGTGCCCTCCTCTCTTCCTTCTCCCCTCATCTCTCTTCTCCTCATTCGCCTCCTTCCATTTCATCGCCTCTTATTTATTAACCTATCTCGCCCGTCTTCCTCCTCCGGCCTTCCCCTCGCCTCCCTCTTCCTACCTTCTCCCCCTATCTCCACATTCGCCTCCTCATTTCCTCCTCTTCCCGCTTCCTCTTCATCCTAACGCACACAAGATTCTTCGAATCTCAAAATCTCTAGAAGCCAGCGCCTTAGCATTAGCTTCTTCTTGTTTTGAAGTAATCTTGCCACTTAAGCCTACAAAACGATCGGTGTAAATGGTAACGCTATTCCCGCTGTTTATTGTTGCCTGCAAGGCGTACGATTTACTACACACGACTACATGGAAATCTCCAGCTATAGCT